TACTTTAGAGAGCCACTATAGTGGTTGTACAAGAAGGAGGCACTTTAGAGAGCCACTATAGTGGTTGTACAAGAAGGAGGCACTTTAGAGAGCCACTATAGTGGTTCTGGAGAGTCAAGGTATTAGGGAGAGCCACTATAGTGATTGCAGAGGGACAAGGTATTAGGGAGAGCCACTATAGTGATCCTATAGAGACAAGGTATTAGGGAGAGCCTCTATAGCGGTCCTATAGAGACAAGGTATTAGAGAGAGCCATTATAGTGGTTGTGGAGAGACAAGGTATTAGGGAGAGCCACTATAGTGGTTGTGAAGAGACAAGGTATTAGGGAGAGCCACTATAGTGATTGTAGAGGGACGAGGTATTAGGGATAGCCACTATAGTGGTTTTGAAGAGACAAGGTATTAGGGAGAGCCACTATAGTGATTGTAGAGGGACGAGGTATTAGGGATAGCCACTATAGTGGTTTTGAAGAGACAAGGTATTAGGGAGAGTCACTATAGTGATCCTAGAGAGACAAGGTATTAGGGAGAGCCACTATAGTGGTTATAAGAAGACAAGGTACTAGGGAGAGCCACTATAATGGTTGTAAAGAGACAAGGTATTAGGGAGAGCCACTATAGTGATGACGGTGGTCCTATAGAGACAAGGTATTAGGGAGAGCCACTATAGTGATGACAGTGGTCCTATAGAGACAAGATATTAAGGAGAGCCACTATAGTGATCCTAGAGAAAGAAAATATTAGGGAGAGCCACTATAGTGATCCCAGAGAAAGAAGATATTAGGGAAAGCCCCTATAGTGATCCTATAGAAACAAGCAAAATAATAAGTTATTCCTCCAAAATTAATTTGTACCACCTTAAAATCGAATGTAGCATAATTTCCATTAACGGACCAAACTTCCTTTCTGCTCGTTGATCTCAATATTGTAAATATGGTTATCTCTACGGGACCTCTCGAGTAGCGGAACAAATTCAGCAGCAAATATGCTAATGAGCGGTGCTTAAACGAATCTCCCGGCAAATTTAAGCGATTTCGGATAGCAGAAGAGTTTATCGTCTTTCAGAAATGTTAGAAATGTTCGACCACTCGATAAACTTTCGTCTTCGATGAAAATAATTGACGCTTTCCGGGTAACGATGTTAATCGATATAAAAAGAGAGAGCACTCAACGCTTCGTGCCTCGTGGAGAGTTTACCGTGTCGTTTAAGTCGATGTTCCTCCGATAGGGCGTCGGTATAATTCGTTCGTTAATCGTTCGCTTCTCAAAACGTTTATATTCGGAACGTCGCTTCGTTTCAATATCAGGTTTTTATGTCGTGTGCACGTACGACGCGTTAATTAACTCGAAAACGCTCGTCCGAGTGGACAAAAGGGCTGCTTTATTTCCGGGGGAAATAAATCAGTTCGAAAGGGAGAAAAACAGGAGATTTTGCAAGGTGGATCGATCGAGTTTCGTCCATTTTTGCAGCAAGACCGGGAAAAAGTCTAATTTCGTCGTTATCGTGCTTCCATTTATTTTCGCTTCCGAGACAAGTTACTCGGCCAAAGAACACGTCCGTACATCCACCGATTTTCACCGTTTCGAATAAAAGAAAATCTGTTAAGAAGGAGAAAGCTTTCGCGACAACGTCAGAGGTTCAGAAGAGGCACGCTATAAATAACCCGTCTCGTATCTGAAATCAATGGCTTTACGCTAAAACGTAGTTGAACGTAATTGAAATAATACTTGATCCAGATTATTAGACCGGTTATCGATCCAGGATTCCCTGTCCAGAATATTCCAAAAATCGCCCGTAAATAGACATTAACGGATTGAAACGTTGAACGAGATAGATTATTGTCCGGGATGAATCAGCGCTTTCGTAGGAGCAGCATTTCCTGTTCGATCGAAGATAAGGGGTAAAAGAATGGTTCGCGAACGCTGATTCCCTCGGAGATACGAGAATTCTATTTGCGATCGATTTTTCTTTAAACTGTTTACATCATTCGACTGTTATTTATCAACGATTTAATTGCTTTCGTTTCCGCTCGAACAAGTTCTTGCGCAAAATGGCGACGAAACTTAACCTCTCGAAACGCGATACGGAAACAGTAAACTCCTCTGCATTTCTCGGAACAAACCTCGACTTTAGCATCAATCAGAGATAAATAATTACTGCGATGTTGCAAATAGAGAAATGTTAGGTTATGTTTAGAGTTTAGTCTTGCGTTAAATTAGTCTCTCGATCGTAAGAAGCCGCCATCTTGAATACAGATGTTACACCTCCGGAAATTAATAATATATAACAATAAGAAAATTAGCACATACTAACAAATTAAAACACGTGTTAAAATGAGAAGAACTGATAATTTTTCCATTGTGTTTTATTTATAATTATATCTATTATAGTGTTAATAAATAATTTTATAAGTAGAGGCCGCCATCTTGAATACAGGAGTTGTTACACCTCCGGAAATTAATAATATATAACAATAAGAAAATTAGCACATGCTAACAAATTAAAACACGTGTTAAAATGAGAAGATCTGATAATTTTCCCATTGTATTTTATTTATAATTATATCTATTACAGTATTAATAAATAATTTTATAAGTAGAGGCCGCCATCTTGAATACAGATGCTGTAACACATTCGGTCGTCACAAGAAAATTAACTTGTTAACAAGTTAAAATTAACATACGTTAAAATGAGAAGATCTGATAATTTTTCCATTGTGTTTTATTTGTAATTATTTCTATTACAGTATTATTAAATAATTTTATAAGTACCCTGATTAAACTAGTACAAAATTTCGTATGAAATATAATTTCTGATGTATCTACGATATTGCAAGCGAAAGGGTTATAAAACAATTACGAAGCAAACACGACGCGGAAAATGCGTTTGAATTATCGAGAGAATTACATTTGTTTTCGGCAGCGGATCAACGTTGACCCGGCAGGAAATTTATATCGCGAACCAGTTCCAGAGACGTAGAGAAGTGAAACGTTATCGAACGGCAGCGAACTTTTCGAGTGGAAGAGGTAAATGAATCGCGTCTCGTTCGCTGAGCATCCGTGCATAAACACCCTGTCTAATTTGGAATTTATCGAATCGCGCGATTTTCGTT